AAACCTTTTCGAAGGCTGTAAACCGTTAGTATTATTAGTATCATATTTTTAGTCGCATTTTTTCAGACAAAAAAACATTGGTATCATTTTTTTCTCGGTTCATACTTACACCGTCATTTTTTTATTTTTTTCCCCAGTGCTATCGCAGGTTCGCAATCGCATGGGCCTGTTCGCTTGAACTTATCAGCCGGCTTATCAGCTAAAGTATATAGTATTTTTCTCTCACAATAAAACAGCTTCAGCCGGCTTCTAACAACCCGATCTTTCTGTGGCTGGCATGCATCGATGATCGATCCAGAGCCGGCCAGTTAACAAAAAGCATCTACCGTGACGTATTTGGAGTATGGACGGCTGGGCGCGAACGTTTCCGTGCCCCCTTCGTCGTAAGATGGATTGGAACGGTCGAACCGATGCGTTCCGTGTCCTGAGCGTGGCGCGGATGCGCTTTCTTCGCCGCGCCACCGATTGTCGTTTGCCTGCCTCCGCGCTTGCGCTCGGTGGAGTCGTGGACCGTGGCTGTCTTTCGCTTGGGCGAGGACTGACACGATAGATAGATAGATTCCAACCAAAAACGGGACAAGAAGCTATCGGTCGAGATCAGACACGGAAGAAGACGAGGTGTAAAAGCAGCCTCTACTTGGTTGAATTTCGACATGTCCCAACAGGCAGCAACCAGCTAGTGTGCACCACACACACACAGGTCCTCCTGAATCGGTGAAAGGTTGTTGTTTATTGATATACTTGTAGTCCGAAAGACGAAAAGAGCCTTACTATTTTCTTTTACTCTGTATATCTATCTTTTTTTTATGAATTGCTTGCCTTTCATTAACTCCTGGTTGGATTATGTGCTCTCATTTTCATGTTACATTCAGGGCGTTTAGTTTGGTGGACGTGCTTTCGCCGTCCCTGTTATTACCGTGTCTCGGTGTCGGTGTCTGTGTGTGTCGATGATCTGAACCACACGGCCATGTTTAGCCCGTGTTCAGTTAAAAAAAAACGTTCCCAAAAAGTGCTACAGTATCTATCACATTAAATCTTGCGATACATGCATAGAGTATTAAATGTAGATGAAAAAAACTAATTACACAGTTTGGTGCGAAATTGCGAGACGAACGTTTTGAACCTAATTAGTCCATGATTGAACACTAATTATCAAATAAAAACGAAAGTGCTACAACAGCCAAATTCCAACTTTCCCCTCAACTAAACACGGGCTTAGTTGGCCACCGATTCGGCGCCGGCTGAATTCAGTGACACTGTAGCGACACTGTAGCATTTTATTTGTATTCGGTAATAATTGTCCAATCGTTGACTAATTAGGCTCAAAACGTTCGTCTCGCAAAGTACAACCAAACTATGCAATTAGTTTTTGATTTCGTCAACATTTAGTACTCCATGCATGTACCACAAATTTGATGTGACGAAACATCTTCTTTTTGCATAGTGACAAATTCTGAAAAATGAGGAAACTAAACATGGCCCACGCCAGCATCCGTACCGCGGAGATGGACTGCATTCAGACGGAGGAGGCGCACGTACGCGGCTTTTACTATGATATGATGTATATGACGCGGCCGAAAGGAGGACTAGGAGGGTACGGCCTCACGGGGACAAGAGAACGCGCCGGACCGACAGGTGGTAGTAGAAGGAGCGGTGCGGTTGCTTTTTCACCTTGCTGCTGTCCTCTCCTCTCGCGTCCCCGTGGTCGTGGTCCGTGGACAGAGTCAATGCTTGTCCGGGCACCGGTGGAACCACTCTCTGTCGCTCTCATCAGCGTCTCCGAATCTCCTCCGATATTGCTCGCCTCCATCAGCATTCAGCAGGAGAGGCTCCCTTTGCAGAGACCGGCCAGCCGGCCGGCGGGCGGATGTGTCGGCAGCGGCAAGCCCCAGCCGTGTCATGGTGTCAGTGTCCGCTGGGTAGTACCACGTACGATGTGTTTTGGTTTCCCCACGAAGCAACAAATTTGAATTCAATGTGCTACCTAACGTGGCAAGGGAAGTCCAGTGTGTGTGACTGCGCTGTGAGAGAGCAGGTCAGGCCACAGGCACGTCGCTCGCATGCAGGCCTAATGGTAGGCGCGTCGCACGGTGCAGTGTGCAGGCCGTATACTATTATTACTGTAGCAGGGATGCGATGATGCAGTGCAGTGGCCGTGACGCGACACGTGCTTTGGCGGCTTGGCGTGATGAGGCACTGGCAGGGATCGAAATTTTAGTCAACGATTGCAGCGCGGTCCAGATGGAGGCGCGCGCGCGCACCACGCACGCAGGTTTTTAGTCAATGCTTTGGCGGCAGGCTGCAGCCGTAATTGTATTGCAAATACAAAGAGCCAAAGACCATCCCCAACCCCAAGTCAGCAGTCAGACTGTAGTACACATTTATCACTATGTAGCGTCATGCCGATGCCGGCTTCAGCGCTTCAAAGCCATACCCTCCTCAGACCGGCCGATCAGTCAATCATCACATGCATTTTGTGCAAAGAAATAAGTAGAACATTTCGTCGGTTCGTATTGCAGGCTCAAAACTATTTTAACTTGTATTCCCTCCGTCAGCAAAATGAGTATTATTAAACCGACACAAAATTATATAAAAATGTACGTTAAATTGATTATTATGAAATATAATATAAACTTAGTCAAAGTTATATTAGTTTGATCTGCACATAACCCATGGTTGTATTTTTTTTATGGACATAGGGAGTATATAGAATTGATGGTAATTTTTTGTAATTGTTCACCAAATTGTTGATTGAATTATTACACCACATTGTGTGGTATACCTTAAGTTAGCCCAAACAGGACTTTGCTGGTTTGCATATAAATGGGAGAAAAAAGTACATACAATATAATTTGACCCCTGCGGTATTCTTGGGGGTAGAACCATAGACTAAAATATTTTGGACTAAAATTTGCACTTTTTATACGTAGTGGTATAAAATTGCTAAAAGAATGGGGAAGTTGATTTAAGACTTTAGACCAAACACGTCCCACCATGGACTAAAGTAGACTAAAACCATGTCTATAAACCAAACGGAGGGTATCTTGCAATGAAGTTGATTTAACGAACACGTCCCACCAAAAACCATGTCTACGGATTTCCATCCCTGAACAGTACCAAAGATCTTGATTTTCATCCGGTAACAGAAGAGATCTTTAGAGAGAGAGAGAGAGAGAAGCGAGAGTAGGTATGAAAGCTGAAATGGAACATCATTTATCGATGCTAGTTTTCAAGGTTATTATCGTATTTTTGGAAAAAAAAAATTGAAATGAAAATGTAAACGTTAGATGTAATGATAACGGTCCGAAGCTGAAATTATTGGCAATATTATACCTTTTTTCTTATCCCATGACCCCAGAGTCTCGTCCTATTCGAACCCATCATCTATTTTACAGTTTACATGCGTGTGGATTTATATGTGTAGTAAAGCATGTTCATTAGTTTTAAAAAGAAGTAAAACATGTTTGAATAGTTGATTCGTTATTCGTTAATGTGTGTAGGTAGTCGTTTTTTACTCTGCATTTTTCTAAAAACGTTGCATTAAAATGGTGTGTGTGTGGGGGGTGGGGGGATTATATGCACATTGTAATCGACAGACTAATAAGACCCCGAAATTTCAGTTACACATGACGCAACAAAACCTATGTGACTGTCATTGAACAGCGCTAATGCTAAACTGACTTACTGACCCGCTCACAAAGAAGACAACTCAGTTTGGACGCACTCGTCTGCATCCAATTTTCAGCCTCGTGTTTACTAGCTCTACATTATCAACTAGACAATTACCGACTAATATAATATCGTTACCGTTTTCGTTTCTGATAATATTATTTTAAATTTCATTTCTATGGAAACACTGAAAAAAAAACAATTTGTGTCTCTTCCGATCGTTTGGATCTCTAAACCGCGTGGCGATGGAGCTAGATCATTTTTCTTCTCTGTTTTTTCTTAAAAAAAAAAGAATCTGTGTGCACACTGCACAGGAGGAACCTTTGATTCCGGCGGTCCCAACGCACGAGGGCCCACAGCGTCGCTCCGGTGGGTTGGCCTGCGCTGGGCAGACAGACGCATCGTGGGCCGGTGGCATCCCGAGATCCAGAGGGCCGCGGTGGCAACGGGCCCAGCGAGACTGTAGTTCCGTGGAGGGAGGCCGGCCCTGTTCACCGCACTTGCAAAACGAAAACAAGCAAAGAGAGCGCGAGCGCATGTGCCGTGTCCGGTGTCCCTAGTCCTTACCCATCTCCGTGGACTGGCTGTGCGCCTGTGCGCGTGCACGCTTTCTCCGCCACGCCGCGTCGGCGTGCGTGCGCCGTGGTTGGTGGTGGCGTCCCGGCTGGTGGCCGTTGCCGCGTTGTGCCCTGCCGCTGCCGGCCAGCTCCGAAACAAAACGCGCGCACAGTTCGCGTCCCATTCGCGTTGACAGATCTGATCCGCCACTATCTTCTCTGCTCTGTTCCTGCGGATCATCCTCCTCTGCCTCCGTCGACCGTCGCCCGTCTCATTTGCGCGATACAGTAATAAACCCGCCACCCCGGCGGATAGCGTACATATATGCTTGTCCCTGTTTGAAGACTTGATCGTTTCCAACCAAAGGGGGGCATTGGCGTTGGCCACTGGATTGGAACAGTTTAGATGTCCAAACGGCCTTTGAGTTTGGTGAACAGCTGGTTCTGCCGCACCTTTTTCATTTGACCTAGGCCACAAATTGTTTCTCAGAAAACTGGTGCGTCGTGTTCGCTGGAGTACTAGTTTGGACATCATACTTGTTTCGTGCCTAGCCTTACCAAAAGTCCAAAACACAGCTAGCGTGACCTGCACACCACTTACGCAGGCAGATTCGATTTTTGGTTGCCGAGAAAATCTCATCAAAAAAATAAATAAATAAAACATAAGAAGTCACAGACAGAAAAGATCAACGCACGGCCATTTCTCCTCCACCGCCCTGCGCATTTGCATCTTCCACCTCCGGCCAGCCAGCAGACTCGATCATAGATAACGTCATGTCTCGGAAGCACCATGAGCTGGAGGGAGCAGGAGGCAGCGGCGTGGGCAGCGACGACCCCAGCGGCAAGGCGGTGTGGGACACCGGGAGCTCCCTGTACGACTCGTACGAGCTGGCCGCCGTGCGCCGGCTCCTCGACAAGCGCCTCCTCGCGGCCGCCGGCGTCCCCCCTCTCCGCGACGACGGGCCACCACCAGCCGCGGGAGGGACGAGGGGCAAGAGCACGCAGGTCGTGCCGGTCAGCAGGGTCCACCACAGGAAGGTGTTCTTCAGGGCGGTGTCCACCTGGGCGGCCCGGGCCCGGCCGAGGCAAGCGCCGCCGCTCGCCTGTGCCTGCGCTGGCATGGTCCACGACCAGAGTGGTGGTGCCGCGGTCGAGCCGGATCTGCCGCCCCACGGTCAACTTTGATCATCCATGTGTTTAGTCCATCTGCTTGCATTGGGGCAGCATGTTCTTCGGTTTCTTTTTGTTTTCTCGATTGTTGTGGTTCTACGTGTCAATGCTGTCCTGCTCATGCGATTGTTGGTCATGGAGCAACCAAATCTGCATAAAGAGTAGTGAGCCCGGTCTGGCTCCAGATTTGTATGTAAAGCACATGAAAGCATTTGGCGGTTTTTCTCATGCAAAGGCTGTGCGCGGGGGATCGACTGAGTTTGCTTCTTGTACACAACCTTTTGCTTCAGAAATCAGAACACACGTGATCTTTCTGAATCTTCTTCAGCGATGACACGGCTGCTAAATGCAATGCTACGAATGCAGCAACCTCGCATCACGGCTACATACATACACTGTCAAACAGCTATACAATATATGATACACCTATCAGTAGGGCTACTCTCAACATGATGGATCGTACGCCATGCACTTCCACAATACTTTCAGCTACCAGTACTTACGTGTGTAGCTTCGATCAGAGTCAATACGCAGTGCTGAAGTAGCTCTGGGTGACGTTCCTGCTCAGTATCTGCAGCACCTTGCTGTTGGACTGGCTCACGAACCGCGGCGTCTTGAACTGGCTCACGGCGCCGCCGAGGCTCAGGTAGTGGTCCATGACCTGCCCGAAGGTTCCCTTCCGGAGGACCCGGAGCTCGAGGGCGCCGATGGTCTTGATCTTCCTCGACCCGACGTACCCGGCGTCCACAAAGGCCAGGTCCATGCTGTTGGCGCAGCCGCTCAGGACATCTTCGCTGGCGCTGTCGGAGCTCAGCTCCCAGAAGATGACGTAGTGCCCTGGGTCGCTTGATCTGTCCACGAGGCTCGTGAAGTCCACCACCTCCAGCTTCTCCGCGGCCAAGAGCTTCTCCGCCTCTTCGACGGCTAGCTGCAGGTCTTTCTCGGTGTTCTTGTCGATGTTGATGCTGAGGACTAGACTTCTGCGGCAGATGAACTGGAGCTCTGGTGTCGAGTTGTGGAAGCCCGCTATCTTCACAATATCTCCCAGCCTGTATCGATATAGACCTGATGGCCCAATAGTCCATTGGAAAAGCAAGAACATCAAACATGTGCCATTTCGATGGAATGAAAACTAGAGCTAGTCACTGATACTACTATGCATTAAGCTCAAATCTTAACCGAGAAATCCTTCTGAAGGACAAAGACACAAAACACACTAGAGTACTGACGAAGCTGGGCTGGAGCCCAGCTGGGATGAAGCTGTGCTGGAGCCCAGCTACTTGAATCATCAAATGAAAAAAATAAATTAATATAGCTCAAATAGATGGAAACATACAAATTTCCAATGCAAAATCATGAATTAGAACTGCAGTGCTCGAATCCTACCGGAGAAAGAGATTTATGTACCTGCAAAATTTGTTATTACAACTTCGTAGATTTTGCCAACCTCAACTTCAGTTAGGCCTACAGGCTCTGACTCTATGTAGTGAATAGAGGAACTGTTCTCCATTTCCTCCCCTTTCGGTTTTTCCAGAGGAATGAACTCGAAATAAGCAATATTAGGAAGAACAGCGTATGCCACCTCCTCAGGCGGCAGGGTTGGATTTACATTAGAACCAACCCATCCTTCAGATGCACCATAGTCAGCACTCATCAGTGGTAAGTGACCAGCATAATGTCTCAGTTTCTTTAGGTATGTCTCCATGGACCCTGTCATAATGCCATAGACGTACTTCGCATTTGGCCACAGTGTTGGGATCACCCCATACCAATTACTCAGATTCTGGCACTTATTGTATATCGAGCTAGCAAGCTCAGGATTCGGCCTCAAGATTTTTGAAACAGCTTGGCGGATAGATGGTGTGGTAACTCTCTTTGAGAGGACACCATCTCTTATATCAGCACATAGATCTTCCCATACCTCCTCGAGAGTGTGAAATGCATGGACGAGGCTGTGCGCAAATGGTGAGAAAACAAACTGAACTTCATCTGAGTAGATTAACCCACATAATAGATGGCAGTACAAAGACTGATGGAAGTCAGAACCAAAGATGACTTCATCAGGACTGCAGCACTGAGACATGATATCCTTCATTGCTTCCTTGAAACGCCGACTCCTGTACAAATTTGTTGTCGCAGTTGTAGCAAGAATGCCCCCATGGGTAAAGACTTGCTTGCTCCCATAAACAAACTGCAAGGCTTTTCCGTTGCCAATAGGATATTCACTGCAAATATGCCCAAACATTATTTTGGAACTCTGGATCATAACGCTGAAGGAACATTTTGCAGACTCAAAATTATTATATAGCAGTATCACTGTTGAGGATATAACTTATAAAAGAAGCAGAATGTCACAAATATAAGCGAAGTTCCTTACCGATTTCTAAAAGCATATGAGGTTCGGAATATTTGAATTGTACTCTCAAGCAATTCATCATTGAATGGCAAAAACTTGGGTTTTCCCTGCGTCGTACCAGAACTGAAACAATAATTCAGAAGCAAAGAAATTTAGAGTTCGCCTAATTCAGATACCAGTTGATGCAACAAGACAAAAAAAACTCCAACTAGTACCTTACGGAGAGGGAAGTGATGGGCTTCCCAGTTAGCACCAGTGAGTCGTCTCCATCGGCTATCCTCTGGATGTAGGACTCTATGTCACTATGCACACATAGCGGAATGCAGGATTTAAAGCTCTTTGAATCTGTTCTCGTTCCAAGATTGAAGCGATTCAGATATTCAGCATGACCATTCAGTTCAAGAATCTTTCTTAGTGTATCCTGCTGCACGCGTCTAGCATCACGCGTTAGCAACTCAAACTCATCAATGATTTCTTCACTGCTGCAGATTGTCATTGGAACTTGCAGGTCAGAACCTTATCACCTGCTTGTGCTGTGCTGAAGAGGAAGGTCTGCAAATATCCACATCGGAATAAAACAACCACATAAACCACTTGAAGAAGCATTACTGCAAAGAAATTTTAAATCGAATGCCTGAAAGTTATAAAGGGGGAAGACTATCGATGTGGGACATCTAGAATTGCATGTTATTCATGTGCATCATTCCACATATCTAAGACTGAGCTGGATCCAGCAGTATACTTGGGGTCAGTACTAGAATGGAAAGGAAGTAGAAGCAGCTTCATAACCGACAAATTAGGCTACATACCATGAACTTTGCCATGAAATGGGTGGAGGAAACAAACATGTGGATACCTAACAAAGCCAACGACCAAAGAAGGCAATCTTTATGAATACATGTCAGTGGACGACGGAAAATTAGAGTCTTCTTCTGACATACAAAAATAAAGGGCGAAATGGACGCCCACTTCTACTGAAGGGTGAGAGTCTTGATCTAATGATGTCCTCCTATCCAAGAATAGTTCATCCCAAACTTTTGAGCAGCAATATTGATGATTGCAAGAGTCCTTATGTTAGGTATGTCTCAGTGGTTATATGTTAACTACCTTAACACTGAGTCAACCCTTTTCATGATGAACAACCATAAAGTCTACTTCGGCCATCAATTTTACAAGACAAACGGTAAAAGTAGTGACAGATTTTTTTTTTTTGAAAAGTAACTACCTATGAGTTACTCCTCAAGAGCATTAGTGGCCTACTTCTGTGAGAGGCAAATTTACCGAGTCAACCATGATACACATCATCCCAATATAACCCACCTAAGCGTGAAATTTGTGAACTGTTTCTGCATTTCTGGAAGAGCCAACACAATCATGAAGAGGAGGCAACTAGTCGCTTAGAAGCAGATTGTCATGGGCCACCATGCAGTCACACACATTTAGTGGATTGCTCAGGGAATTGCACGCAAAGAAATGACTTAAGTACAAAGATTGCTTCCCCATTCAAAGCAATGATGCAACTAAAATGGCAAGAGAGGTACACAGGTACAGACGATTGAAGCATTTATTCATTCCTGTACATCTGAAAATGGAGGAAACATGTAGGCCTACTACAAGCCCCCGACAAAAACATGGCTCGTTGCTTTGACCTACATAGGAGGGAAAAAAGGGGTATATCCCAGCTCCAAGAAGAGAGATAGATAGACAACCCTGAATCCCCAAATCAAGGAGGTTGATTTCTAGCAACTCTGGCGACGGGATTCCTCGACTAGAGAGACAGATAAATTTTGGGGCGGGGGCCTTCACCGCAACAGGAATTGGACAAGAATCATGCTCAGATCCAAAGGAGGGGGTGGGGGGAGCGGCTTTCCCAGGCATCACAGGCACAGCGGCTAGTACGTATCGGCAGTTCGGAACTGTTTCGCCCAGAAAAGGTTGGGCAAGCCAAGCCAAGAGGGTAAGAGCTAATCGACAGAGCAAAATATGAATATTCATGCGGCATATACCCACTCGTTCATCGAGCATACACCGGCATATCGCCTCCCCTCCGACTCCGAGTACCATTAAGAATCGAACTTTTCTGATTCCCCTCAGAAAATCCTATCGGTAATCATTTCTTTAAAGTTCACCCTGAGGCCTGAACCAGCAAATTCCAACCTTTTCGCAATAGAGAGGGCCGGCAGGCGGGCAGGCACTCACCGAATAACAGAGGTGCTGAAAGAGGCGGCTTGCGTGAGGGCGACGGGGCGAGGAAGCCGGATGTCCGGAGGTGGAGAACAGTCAAGCTGTCGCGGATTAGTCGACGATAACCGGGTATGCTTGCTGCGTGCGTGGGGACTGGGGACGAAGGTTCCCGCTGCTTTTATAGCCGCCCGGCAACACCTGCTCAACCCAGAGTGTGCTATTGGCTATTGCACTTGCCAGTCGCATGTGACAGTTGCCGAGGTGCGTAGGCCCTGTTCCGCTTGAACTTCAACACGTTACGCTGTTTTTCACTCAAAACAAGTTCAATTCACCATATTAACTAGTCACTGAATTTAGCGCCCCCCCCCACCCCACACACACCCAAAAAAAACTTCAATAATCAATAGTGTCGCACAACCGACTAATTTATAAGAGTACAAGTACAATGGCAGCCCGCAAGCGGTCGCACTGTCATACTTAAACCCATATAAACTCGGTAATCCGTCGAGTACCGCGACGGGTCTTGATAAACGATTTACAACAACCAAGATCGTACATGATTCAACATACATGTCACATATTACATAAAGTTCACAGATACATTTCTCCATCAGAGTACGAATAAAAGTTATTACAAACCGAGTTTGATAGATAAAAGCGGAAGCAAATTAAGTTTGAAAGTAAAGTTTCCAACATAGTTTAGTACAGTGCCAAGATACGATCACGGTCTACAAAAGCATGTAGAAAGATTAATAAGAAGCCTGCCCAAGGCTTATTCCTCATCCACAGCGGGATAGAAGCAACTCTTGCAATAACCATGATACACAGTGCCATCGCAACATGGGAAATAAAACCACGATTACGAGAAGGTACTTTCTAGACTTACCCGTCATAAACCGAAATAAAATGACTCCAAGGATTATGCAAGGCTGTATAAGTGGAGATAGCTTGACAATATTTTGCATAAAAGCAATTGACTTAATGTACAATTAGGATTCCTTTATCAATTATTTATAACTATCCATTTCTAGATTAGCAACTATCCATGCCAAACATGTGGTATATCCATTTAAAAGCATACAATATAGGTATTGTAATTCCATATTCATTCGAACCATCATGTTCCATAACACGATTACTACGATGTTGGACTAGCCAAGTTTCTCACTATCCAGGAAGAGACGGCGATTGAATCGATTTCAACCAACGGGAATTTATTCCTAACACAAACCTGTGTCTACTAGCCACGATAGCCTTAGGTCACATTTGGTACAACTCAGTGTACACATACCGCACAATCTGGAACACCAGATGCCGGGGACGTTCAGCCTAATTTTGGGCTCGGTCGATCGTTCCGGAAGGAGCGCACAATGAACGGGTCCCTACCGAGTTGAATTACACAACCAGCGGTCGGAACGAAAGTTATCCCACCAAACTAAGTGAGAGGCATGCGTTCAATCTTGTCGGAAGCGCCAACAACAGACGGTCCTTAATCGACACAGACGGGGATAGATCCACACCCAAGACCTCCATGTCCGGTTGCTTTCTATCGACATCCTCCCGGTCTCCATTTACATGAACCATGGTTCTTTTCCACGATAGCAATTATAACCAACCGTGTTTTTGGTATCCACCTATATCTCGCAGTGACAACAGAAATCACCGACTTCTACCGGTCTAAGCATGGCTAAGCATATATTCGATCCTAGACCTATACCGGTTAAAGGTGTAATAGCTGGACAAGGAATGTATATGCATCAAGTGGTTCCATTCAACTCTTATAACCTAATGCATAAATCATAAGTACTTAAGTAATTATTTGTAAAATATTGAGAGACTTAGAATGCTCCGGGGCTTGCCTCATGAGAAAGAAAGTAGATGTGATCGGGACACTCAAAAAGCTCTTCAGATTCGCTCCTCGCACCGGGAGCTGCGACTTGAGGATTCTCTGGCTGGCCCCCTTCCCCGCTTCGTCAATTCAAAGAACGTTATTTCTTCCTCCGATCCTAGATGCATGAATATGGCATAAGTATTACGAATGCATATATGTTAACAAGTGCATCATGTTTATTGAGTAGGTGCATATCTCTTCTCGATTATTTAATTACTACTTCCACGATGCATCTACTATATCACAAAACAACAGCTACTTGTTTTACTCATAACAGGAGTTCTACTAATCCAAATGCAGTGATCCTAAACTTTCTGGAAAGCTTATCAAATTATCTACAACTTTGTTATTAACCATTTTTACAGCAAACATCATCCCTATCATGCAACTTAGCAAACTCTAGAATCTGTCCGGAAACTATTCCAATTCGCATTATAAAGTAACAATACTTCTACTTCATATAAGTATTCAAATTTTTACAACCAAAAGTCTACCAACAGTTTAAGCATACCAAATACATCCAAGAAAACATAATTGTGAAGCCCAAACTATTTATTTAAATGTCTTTATTATTTTATTTAGATATTTAGGTTAAATAATAAACCTATACCAAATGTGCATCATAAATTCTCAGAAAATTACAGTGGCTTACTAGTGCTACCAATAGACTACTGTAAAAATTTCATGCCATTTTGCCAAGTAAAACATCCTATACAAAAATGACAAGGCAGAAAGGCTTGAAATAGCATAAATAGAAAACCCTATTGAAAAGTGTCAAGCAACAGATTTCCTATTTTTCTTAGCATCCATATACTAATAGGATAACCTCCAACAAATTTCATGAATATTGGATTCCTAAATAATTTATAAAAATTCACACAAGGATCTCCTAATTATAAAATAAAAATTTATAACTACAAATCTACACATGCACTGATCGTCAAATTTTTACCAGAGTTCATACATGACAAGAATAGCTTACCACAAAAATTTCATAATTTTTAGAGCACAGGAACTCTAGATATAAAATAAACAAGTTTGCATGCATTCAAAAACACATTGCAAAACTCTATTTAAATCTCCCAAAATTTCTAATGTAAATGTTAAGAACATATTTTTACTAAATACTACACTTCCTAAGGAACACTACAAAATTTATTGCACAATTTTTAAAGCTACCAAACTGGAGATTTAAAATTCACAAAACATATGAAATCTGCATTCAAAATGAACTAGCTTTAATACATGGAGTCGTTGACGGTGGGACACATCGGTCGGGGACCCCACGTCATTGAGACACGAACAGAGCCGCGGCGGCGTTACGCTGATCGGGCGCTGATCGAGTTCGCCGACGGGCGAACTTAAAGCAGTAACATCTTTTGGCGTGACCACGTGACTTAAGCGCATCTATTGCACCACTT